ACTCCACGAGATACTGGAGACTCCCCATCCGATGTCTCGAATCCAAGATGGACCGAACTGTGTACGCCGGAGCCCCCTCGATGTCCAATGGGGGCGGAGGAGTCTCACTTATCTCACAGTCCTGGAGTGGACCAGCTACCACCGGCCTGAGAAGAGACACATGGAACGAGGGGTTAATGTGATAATCAATAGGCAGTTGTAACCTGTAACACACCTCACACCCTCACTGCGGTGGAGATCGGCGCTCGCCTTTTGTCGACGGATGGCCCGCTGCAGATGGACGTGTGCAGCGTTCCACGTCTCCTCCAAGCGCCGCACCCACTCATCCACCACAGGAGCCTCGATCTGACTCTGATGCCATGGTGCCAGAACCGGCTGATACCCTAACACACATTGGAAAGGGGTTAGGTTGGTGGAGGAGTGGCGGAGAGAGTTCTGTGCCATCTCTGCCCAGGGGATATACCTCGCCCACTCCTCCGGCCGGCCCTGGCAATATGATCTCAGAAACCTACCCACATCCTGGTTCACTCTTTCTACCTGCCCATTGCTCTCTGGGTGGTACACCGAGGTAAGACTCACCGAGACCCCCAAGCGCTCCATGAACGCCCTCCAGACTCTGGAGGTGAACTGGGGACCTCGATCAGACACTATATCCTCGGGCACCCCGTAGTGCCGAAAGACGTGGGTGAACAGTGCCTCAGCGGTCTGTAGGGCAGTAGGGAGACCCGGCATTGGGAGGAGACGACAGGCCTTCGAGAACCGATCCACAACGACCAGTATAGTGGTATTCCCCTGAGAGGGAGGAAGGTCTGTAACGAAATCCACCGAGAGGTGAGACCAGGGTCGTTGTGGAACGGGCAGGGGTTGTAACTTTCCCCTGGGCAGGTGTCTAGGCGCCTTACACTGGGCGCACACCGAGCAGGAGGAGACATAAACCCTCACATCCCTGGCTAACGTTGGCCACCAGTACTTAGCGCTAAGGCAGTGCACTGTCCGGCCAATACCTGGATGTCCAGAGGAGGGGGACGTATGAGCCCAATAAATCAGACGATCCCGAACCTCGAGCGGAACGTACGTCCGACCCACAGGACACGTTGGGGGACTAGGGTCGGTACGCAACGCCCGCTCGATTTCCGCATCGACCTCCCACACTACCGGTGCCACCAGACAAGACTCCGGCAGGATGGGAGTGGGCTCAATGGACCTCTCCTCTGTGTCATACCGCCGGGACAGGGCGTCTGCCTTACCGTTCTGGGACCCAGGGATGTACGTTATTTTAAATACGAACCGGGTTAGAAACATGTTCCACCGAGCCTGACGAGGGTTCAATCTCCTAGCTGCCCGGATGTACTCCAGGTTACGGTGGTCAGTCAAAATGAGAAAAGGGTGTTGAGCCCCCTCAAGCCAATGCCTCCACACCTTTAGGGCCTGTACCACGGCTAACAGCTCCCTGTCCCCTACGTCATAATTTCGCTCCGCTGGGCTGAGCTTCTTGGAATAAAAAGCACAGGGCGGAGTTTAGGTGGCGTGCCGGACCGTTGTGATAGTACGGCCCAAATACCGGCCTCTGACGCATCCACCTCTACCTGGAATGGTAAAGCGGGGTCCGGATGCGCCAGCACCGGAGCCGAAGTGAACAGGTCCTTCAGTCTCCCAAAGGCCCTGTCCGCCTCAGCTGACCACTGCAAACACACCGGGCCCCCCTTCAGCAGGGACGTTATGGGAGCTGCCACCTGTCCAAAACCCCGGATAAACCTCCGGTAGTAATTTGCAAAACCCAAGAACTGCTGCACCTCTTTAACCGTGGTTGGGGTTTGCCAATTACGCACGGCTGACACCCGGGCAACCTCCATCCTCACCCCTGACGCGGACAACCGATAACCCAAAAAGGAGACAGACTCCTGGAAAAACAGACATTTCTCTGCCTTGACATACAGGTCGTGCTCCAACAGCCTCCCCAACACTCGGCGCACCAGGGCTACATGCTCGGCTCGGGTAGAAGAGTACACTAGAATGTCGTCAATGTACACGAACACCTTGCCCCTGCATGTCCCGGAAGATCTCGTCCACAAAGGATTGGAAGACTGAAGGAGCATTCATCAACCCGTATGGCATGACGAGATACTCGTAATGACCCGAGGTGGTACTAAATGCTGTCTTCCATTCATCGCCCTCCCTAATGCGCACCAAGTTGTAGGCGCTCCTGAGATCCAGTTTTGTGAAGAAACGCGTTCCGTATAATGATTCTGTCATAGTCGCAATCAGGGGGAGTGGATAACTGTATTTCACAGTGATCTGATTGAGACTACGGTAATCAATACACGGGCGCAACCCTCCATCCTTCTTCTTCACAAAAAAGTAGCTCGAGGACGCAGGGGAAGTGGAGGGCCGTATGTATCCCTGTCTCAGAGACTCGGCTATGTATGTCTCCATAGCCCCCTTCTCCTCTTGAGACAGAGGATACACATGGCTCCGCGGAAGCGCTGCTCCTGCCTGGAGGTCTATCGCACAATCCCCCTGTCTATGAGGAGGCAACCGCATCGCCCTCGTCTTGCTAAACACGAGTGCTACATCCTCATACTCAAGGGGAATGTGCATTGCGGCACTTGGTTCGGACTCTCCACCGAGGTCGCCCCCACGGAAACACCTAGACATCGCCCTACACACTGGGCAGACCACTCCTTGAGAGCCCTCTGTTGCCACGAAATGGAGGGATTATGGGTAATCAACCAGGGAAGCCCCAGCACCACTGGATACGCAGGAGAGTCGATCAGATATAACTGAATAGTTTCCTCCTGACCCCCCTGCGTACTCATCCTAAGTGGTGCTGTGACCTCTCTAATAAACCCCGATCCCAACGGACGGCTATCTAGTGCATGGACAGGGAAGGGAGCATCAACAGGAAGGAGGGGAATCCCTAACTTTACACAAAAATTCCGATCAACAAAATTCCCAGCTGCGCCTGAATCTACTAGCGCCTTATGCTGGGAATGAGGTGCAACCTGTGGAAATCTTACAGGTATACATAAGTGAACAACAGAGAGCTCTGGGTAAGTGGGGCGCCTACTCACCTGGAAGGACTCCCCAGTGCGTGGCCTGTTGTCCCGTCCCCCTGGAGACCCTCCCCAGCACCTAGCCGCAGTGTGCCCTCCACGGCCACAGTTGGTGCAGGGGACGGCCCCCCTCGGGCTCCTTCTCCTCCACTCTCTAGCGCCAGCACCCCCGAGCTCCATAGGACTCGGCTCGGAGGTGCTGGAGGATGGAATGGACGGCCCCCACTCGGGACGTCCGCGGGTGGCCAGCAGGGTGTCGAGACGGATGGACATGTCCACCAACTGGTCAAACGATAGGTTGGTGTCCCTGCAGGCCAGCTCTCGACGAACGTCCTCCCGTAGACTGCATCGATAGTGGTCGATGAGGGCCCACTCATTCCACCCCGCATCCGCCGCTAGAGTCCGGAATTCCAGGGCGAACTCCTGTGCGCTCCTCTTCCCCTGTCGGAGGTGGAATAGACGCTCCCCCGCCGCTTTCCCCTCAGGTGGATGGTCGAACACTGCCCTGAAGCGGCGGGAGAACTCTGCGTAGGTGATGGTGGCGGCGTCTATTCCCCTCCATTCGGCGTTGGCCCACTCCAACGCCTTGCCGGAGAGACAGGAGATGAGGGCGGAAACGCTCTCGTATCCCGAGGGCGCCGGGTGTATGGTGGCCAGGTAGAGTTCCACCTGCAGGAGGAACCCCTGACACCCGGCTGTGGCGCCATCATACGCCCTCGGGATGGAGAGCCGAATCCCACTGGATTCTGGAGCTTGGATGGGAGGACTGACCGATGGTGGTGGTAAGGTAGGAGGAGGTGTGGGCACTCCTCTGGTCTCCCATCGGTGCAGAGTGTTGATCACGTCCTGTAGGGCGGATCCGAGTTGAAGGATCCTGTCGTCTTGCCCGCTGACGCGCTCCTCCAGTGACTCGGGTGCTGCTGCTGCTCCTGCTGACTCCATGATGGTGTGTAATTCTGTCAAGGGCTGACTGTGGATGTGCTGTAGGAGTCAGGCGCAGGACACAGAAGCTACTTCCAACAAACTTTACTAGAGGACACGAAATACAAAGAAAAGGGCCTCAACAAAACAAGGAGGCGAGCGATTACGCAACAGTGCGCAAAAACACTCCAATGCACAAGCAATACGCAAAAGTGCGTCTGGACTCTAAACACAATAGAGCAAAATACCAGCACCTACGGACAGGCGGAACAAGGAAGACAAAACCAAACAAACATCGATAACATACAACGGTGGCAGCTAGTACTCCGGGGACGACGACCGCCGAAGCCTGCCCGAGCAAGGAGGAGGAGCAGCCTCGGCCGAAACCGTAACAACATGGGACTATATAACATTCCAATAGCTCAACATTTCAATGACTTAACCTCAAACAACTATAGATTGTAGAAATTCGTATATACAAATATTGAAAGCATTTAACGAGAACTAAAAGATGTGCAACATGAAAATATTATCATTTACACTGTGTACTTTTTTTTGACGGTCCCTAACTAGCCCTGGCGATTCAAAGTCAAACCAACTTTGCCACAGTTGCACACCAGCAACTCGTGCCACCTGCGAATACACAGGAGACTCATCAAACCACACCCCGAAACCAACACACAGCATTTCTTAATTAACCAAATCTAAAGAGACGGACATCAGGCTGCCTGCAGCCACACGTGAATTTACATGTTTTATTTAATAAAAGAAGCCAAAAGTGCAGTCGCCCTTTTAATGTTAGCTAATGTTGTGGCTAGCTAACTCACCTTGATTCCGCCTCTTATTTGTAGCTTGTGCTGAAACTATTTGATTGTTGACAGGGTGTTCCCATAAGATAATGAGCTTTTGGATAAATTGTGGTTATTTCCTACCCACTGCAAAAGGCCATGCTAGTTCTGAAGGTCTGTATGGTATTTCACAAGGTCTCAATGTTTGCCACTCCTTTATCTGGTTTCAGATTTTAAGATGTCCTACTCGTCATCACGAAGCTCCTCGCGTAACACTGACTGCAAGGTGTATGTGGGTGACCTAGGCAACGGTGCTGCCAAGGGGGAGTTGGAGTGGGCATTCAGCTACTATGGACCTCTGCGCAGCGTCTGGGTGGCCAGGAACCCACCTGGCTTTGCCTTCGTTGAGTACGAAGATCCCAGAGATGCTGAGGATGCAACGAAGGGCATGGATGGCAAGTGAGTACACGTGCGGTTGCATTGCTTACTGCAGCAGCACGGTATTCTGAGTGGATTCATAGGGCTCAATCTTTGACACTATTTTTCAGATTTTTCCTCAATTGCATGCGTTACACCTTTACAAGAACTGACAGAAGGCTATATATCCCAATATGCCATCTATTCTTAAACCATTGTCATGTTTCAGAGTGCTCTGTGGTGCCCGCATAAGAGTGGAGTTGTCAACAGGCATGTCTCGCAAGTCACGCCACGACCGCCCCAGCCGCCGGCACTTCGACCCCAACGACCGCTGCTACCAATGTGGCGAGAACGGCCATTATGCATATGATTGCTATCGCTTTAGCAAGAGGGGGGGCAGCCGCCGCAGAAGGTACAGTGTTGAGGCTGTCTTCTCCAGAATGTCTCTTTCACTGTTATTGGAATGTCACTTTTGTTGAATGATATTCAACGACATGGTGGCTCCTAGAGAATGTAATTTTTGTGGAAGCATCATACATATTTGTTGTCTTTAAATGCTATACCTTTATACTGCACACATTTGATAAATGATCCACTCCCAGGTCCTGCTCACGGTCAAGGTCCAGGGGAAGGCGTTACCGCTCACGCAGCCGAAGCAACGGCCGCAACCGGTGAGTGGTTCTGTGTCACAAAAGGACCCCTGCAAGTTGACTCGAAGGGTCAAACTATCTTTTGAAGAACTTGGAGTGTCTTTATTTTTATTTGATCATTTTATTGTTCTAGCCGAATTTGAACCTGTCTGAAATTCGAAGAGACCGACCTGACTGATTCAGATCAGTGTTCTCTTAATTGCTATTAATAGCTTTATGAGTTCCCTTATCTCCCTCCAACAGGCGTTATAGATCCCCATCATACTCAAAGCGCAGAAGCAGGTAAGACTTAATCTACTGCAGAAATCGGTGAACATATTTGTATCTCTTTATTGTATTTTTTCTGACTTAGTTTGTAGCTACTGTCTCAACTACAGTGTCTTCAGGAAGTGTTCACACCCCTTGAATTTTTCCACATTGTTGTTACAAGGTGGGATTAAAATGGATTTAATTGTATTTTTTTTGTGAACGATCTACACAAAATACTCTTGTCAAAGTGGAAGAAAAATTCTGCGACTGTACCCATGAGTTTAACAGCCAAATAGCCAAGGTTAGAGGTTCCAAGCCCGTTTTATTAATTATATTTCTGTGTGCTGCATTGTGGGGCGTTGCCTAGGCAACCGAAGACTTGTTAGCTTTTTTCAACAAGGAGCAACATAAGTGTTCAACCCCTTGAGTCAATAAATGTTAGAATCACCTTTGGCAGTGATTACAGCTGTGAGTCTTTCTGGGTAAGTCTCTAAGAGCTTTCCACACCTGGATTGTACAACATTGATTATTTAAAAAATGGTTCAAACTGTCAAGTTGGTTGTTCATTATTGATAGACAGCTATTTTCAAGTCTTGCCATAGATTTCCAAGCTGATTTAAGTCAAACTGTAACTAGGCCACTCAGGAACATTCCATTTCATCTTGGTAAGCAACTGTTTTAGGTTATTGTCCTGCTGAAAGGTGAATTTGTCTCCCAGTGTCTGTTGGAAAGCAGACTGAACCAGGTTTTTTTTTTTTTTGCCTGTGCTTAGCTCTATTCCATTAATTTTTATCCCCCCAAAAAACTCCCTTGCCGATGAAAATCATACCCATAAAGTGGTGCAGCCACCACCATGCTTGAAAATATGAAGTGGTACTCTGTGATGTTGGATTTGTCCCAAACATAACGCTTTGTATTCAGGACATAAAGTTAATTTCTCTGCCACATCTTTTGCAGTTTTACTTTAGTGCCTTATTTCTAACAGGATGCATGTGTTACGTTCCCCAGTTTCTATGTTGTGGTTTGTGTATTTACATGTAGGTATTTCAGGAAATGGGTTCTTGAAATTCCCCAACAAGCAGCTGATTGGTTAAAAAAACATTGATGATTGGAGAGCTTTATGCTATTTTTGTTTCATTTGTTCCCAAGGGGGGAAGGGGAAGGCACCTAGGGAGTGCTTAGGCAAGAGGCCCGCGGGCATACATTACCCGTAGAAGTTGACTGTCTATGCACACTAGGAAAGACCTGGGCGGACCATCCCCTGTATTTTGGTTAGTGCACCAGGTGGTGCTAGTTACGTAAGTAGTGGGTAGGCAGGTAAGGTAGGAGAGGGGGCTTTGATATTTACTTTCTTTGCTTTGGTTCCGTCCAGCCCCTTTTCCCCAAACTTACCGTGCGAAGGAATAAATTCCCTGTTAACGGTATTCTCTGCCTTTTGTCATCCTTACTCACACCTACAGTCCCATACCTCTTTCACACCACGGAGAGTTGAGTTGTAGCAGGGTGATTGGAATATTTTTATTCTATGTAGGCTTCCTTTTCATGGTCAATTCGGTTAGTATTGTGGCGTAACTACAATGTTGATCCATCCTCAGTTTTCGCCTATCACAGCCATTAAACAGTCAACTGTTTTAGTCACTATTGGCCTCATGGTGAAATCCCTGAGCGTTTTCCTTCCTCTCCGGCAATTGGGTTAGGAAGGTCGCCTGTATCTTTGTACTGGCTGGGTGTATTGATACACCATCCAAAGTGTAATTAATGACTTCTCCATGCTCAAAGGAATGTTCAATGGCAGCTTATTTTTTACCCATCTACCAATAGGTGCCCTTCTTTGCGAGGCATTGGAAAAACTTCCTGGTCTTTGTGGTTGAATCTGTGTTTGAAATTCACTGCTCGACTGAGGGACCTTACAGATAATTGTATGTGTGGGGTACAGAGATGAGGTAGTCATTCAAAAATCATGGTAAACATTATAATTGCACACAGAGTCCATGCAATATATTATGTGACTTGTTAACCACATTTCCCTCCAGAACTTTAGGCTTGCCATAACAAAGGGGTGGAATACTTATTGACTCAATAAATTTCATATTTTTAATTTTTAATTAATAATAAATACATAATTCCACTTTGACATGGGGTATTGTGCATGTAGGCCAGAGATACAATCACAATTTAATCCATATTAAATTCAGGCTGTAACACCACAACATTTGGATAAAGTCAACGGGTGTGAATACTTTCTGAATACAACCCTTAGTTTGCTTATAGTGGCTAGAGCAGCTTTGGATAGATGACATGGTGACGCCGAGGGTATTGTCTTTGCACAGTAGATCTGGGTCCCCAGCACGTTCCAAGTCCAGAAGTCCAGTGCGCAGGTCATCCAGAAGTCCTGTGCGCAGATCCAGGACCCCAGTTCGTCGGTCCAGGACTCCAGTGCGCAGAGCAGCAAGGTACGGCTCCTATACACGATAAAGTCAGTAATGAAGTGGTCTTTCAACATGGTAGCCCATCATCCAGCTCTTACTGAGATAGATGATGCAACTGAAAGTAAAGACTGATAAACAATGGATGATTGTAAGTGCTACTTTCATTTTATTGACCGGACACTGTGGCCCTAGAAATTAAACATGGTGTAGTGTAGCCACTGCACCGCTCTAAGGTGGTTTTCATCAATCTTAAAATCAACCTATATTGCACCCTGAGACTGTACTGTCATGGCAGAGGCACCTTCCTCGTAAAATCTATTCCTTGGGAGAATAATACAGGATTTTGGCACAGGTTAAAGTAGACATAATCTGACTAATCTGTTATTTGCTATATGTTGAATGTATACCAATAACCAATGTATGCCAATACCTGTTGGATAAACTCAAGACGGCCCTGATGGAAAATTGTAAAATTGTTAAATGTCGACAAAACAAAATATGCTAGACGAGGGTGGATAATATTTTGTTGGTGATTAGATTATGCGACGAATTGAGGCGTGTGCAATTGTTTCAGATTCAGATTGTCTAATAGTCACATTTGCAGGGTACAGTGAAAATCTTAGGCTTCGAGCTCCAACATGCAGGGCTAGTGAAAATAATGAATGGTTATAAAGAAACTATATAAATGGACATAACACTATATACATAATAACTGTGGCAGTGATGAATGAATACATGTCCATTGGGGTGGAGGCAGAGTAAATACTGTTGCGGGGGTAAGGTGGAATGGGGGGACCAGGAGAGAAATGTCCATGGGAGGGAGGAGCAGGTAGCTGACTAGTGGTGGCTATTCAGCAGCCTGATGGTCTGAGGGTAGAAACTATTGGCCAGTCTTTCAGTTTTTGCCATGATGCTCCTGTACAGCCTGCATGAGTAATTGAAGCGGGGAGAACAGGACGTGGCTGGGGTCCCTGATGATCTTCTTGGCCTTCCTGCAACACCTGGTGTTGTAGGTGTCCTGTAGGGCACCCAATGGAGCGTTCGGCTGCACATATCACCCTCTGGAGAGCCTTGCGGTCCGCGACGGTGGAGTTGCCGTACCAGGCTGTGATGCAGCCCGACAGTATGCTCTCGATGGTGTTCCTGTAGAAAACTGAGGGCCATCAGGGACAGGCTGAATTTCTTCAGCATCCTGAAGTTGAAGAGTCGCTGTTGTGCCGTCTTCACTACAGTGTCCATGTGGTTAGACCATTTCAGCTTCTCTGAGATGTGTACGCCAAGGAATTTGAAGTTATTGACCGTCGATGAAGATTGGGGCATGTCCAGCCTGATTCCTGTTGAAGTCCACAATCAGATCCTTTGTTTTGCTAACACTGGGGGAGAGATTGTTTACCTGGCACCACACCATCAGAGTGCCTACCTCCTCCCTGTAGGCTGTCTCGTTTTTGTTGATCAGGCCTACTACTGTCGTGTTGTCAGCGAAGTTGATGACGGAGTTGGAACTGTGAGGCAACGCAGTCGTGGGTATACAGAGAATACAGGAGGGGACAGAGGACACACCCTTGTGGGGCCACCGTGTTGTGGATCAGTGTCGGAGGTAATGTTGCCTACCTTAACCACTTGGGGGCGGCCCGTCAGGAAGTCCAGGACCCAGTTGCATAGGGAGGAGTTCAGACCCAGGCTTCTGAGCTTTGTAATGAGCTTATAAGGCACTAAGTCGATGAACAGCATTCTAACATATGCATTCCCTTTGTCCAGGTGGGTAAGGGCCGTGTGCTGGGCAATGGCCATTGCGTCGTCCGTGGATCTGTCAGGGCGGTAGGTGACTTGGAAAGGCTCAAGTGTCGGGGAGGGAGGAAGTGATATGGTCTTTGACTAGCCTCTCAAAGCACTGATGACGGACGTGAGTGCTACTGGTCGGTAGTCATTCAGTTGGTTTACTTTCCTTTTCTTGGGCACAGGGATGATAGTGGACATCTTTAAGCAGGTGGGTATAGAGGCCTACGCTAGGGAGAGATTGAAAATGTCAGAGAACACAACAGCCAGCTGGTCTACACATGCTCTGAGGGCACGGCTAGAGATGCCATCTGGGCCAGCAGCCTTGCAACACGTTTGAATGACTTACATATGTCCCCAGTAGAGACTGAGTGTGTAGCCCACATTGTCACCGGGGGCTCTCCTCGGCAGCTCAGGGATTTTGTGCTCGAATCTTGAGAAAAATATGTTTAGCATGTCTGGTAGGGTGGCATTGGTGACCGTGATGTAGCTGGCTTTCTTTTTGTAATCCGTGATTGTTAGGAGCCCCTGCCACATACGCCTTGTGTCCAACCCGCTGAATTGCTCCTCC